CAGACTTTCTGATTCTTCCTGATTCAGTTTTGGAAGATTGTGTGTTGCTGGAAATTTATCCATTTCACCCACGTTGTCCAATTTGTTGGCATATAGTTGTTCACAATATTTTCTTACAATCCTTTGTATTTCTGTGGTGTCATTTGTTACTTCTCCTCATTCTCTGATTTTGTTTATTTGGGTCCTCTCCCTTTTTATTTTTGATGAGTCTGGTTACGTTTTTCAATCTTGTTTATCTTTTCAAAGACGAGACACTTGGTTTCACTGACTTTTTATATCATTTTTTTAGTCCCTATGTCATTTATTTTCACTCTAATCTTTATTATTTCCTTCTTCTTACTTTGGGCTTTCTTTGTTTTTCTTTTTCTAGTTCTTTTAAGTGTAAGGTTAGATTGTTTATTCAAGTTTTTTTTGCTTCTTGAGGTAGGCTTGGGAGGCTATGAACTTCCCTCTCAGGACTGCTTTTGCTGTGCCCCATAGAGTTTGGGTTGTGGTGTGTTCATTTTCATGTGTCTCCAGGTAACTTTTTATTTCTTCCTTGGTCTCATCATTAACCTGTTCATTGTTTGCTGAGGCATTCTCTTAATCTCTTCCAGTCCACTCTGTATGGTGTTGCCAAGGAATCTTCCAGGGACAGCTGAGTAAGACCGTTCTAGGGCTGACCATGGCATAGCAAGTAATCTTTAAGTTCTGTAGCCTGACTATCAACAGTCCTTGCCGGGAGGACATGGAGACGTGCTCTTTTCCGTGAGTCTAATTTTCCAGAGAAGGGGAGGCATATCGCATGTGAAGCAGTTCAATGTCAGACGGGCTTTAGAAGGGGGACGGAATTCCTGCTCTGAGGGGGAAGAAGGCAGAAGGCAGAGGGAACCCAAGGGGATGATGGTCTCTCTTCATCATGACTTTCCAGGTGTGTCTTCCTTTCTCCCCCGTGCTCTCTGGTCTCCCCGCCCTGGTCTCAGAGCGGCCTGCAACAACTCCCCTTTCCTGCTTCTGTGTCTCTGCAGAACTCATCACCTCGACCTGGAACCCATTCTCCTACATTCAACATGCAGCCGAAAGGCAAGGGCTCTATTGAGTGCGCCACCGAGATGGGTCCTCCGAAAGCATCTCACCTTGCTCTGGCGCTTTTCCTCATTGACTGTGTACGATGCTGGCCGTGTCTCACGTTTTATCACCCCCACCACCCAGGAGCGCTGGGAGCCTTAGGCCTATGTCCAGCCTGTGTTTTGTTAGTTTGCTTTCTTTTTAAAAAAATCAAGATTCTTTTATTAAAAAAACAAACTATAACCTACATCAAGCATACAGAAAAGTACAGAAAGTGAAATAATGTGTACTCAGGACCTGTCACCAAGAACGAACAGATTGCCTCCAATACCTCGCCACCCACTTTTTAAAAAATAAAATACGACACATACAATGTGAGCACTAGTCCACACCCCCCATTCCCAGAGCTGGTCTTCAGGTTTTCAGAATCAAGAATGAGTGACAGTATTTAGAAAGAAAGGAGTTTCACATAAAGATTGGGAAGTTCTTGCTTTCCTTGAAGGGTCGGGTGGTCTGGTAACTTGGGGTACCTTTCGTCACGAGTGAGCAGGGCCTCCATAGCTTCCCAGAACCCCACACTCCCAAGCATTCCCGTAGTCTCTCAGCCCCAGGCCGCTTCGCCCACAGTTGGGGTCTGGCTCCTGCAGGCATGGGAGCTTGCTGTCTTCATGGAAACCCTTTGAAGTTCAAACGTGTTGTTCATAATGGGAGGGGAACCACTAAGTAGCTGGATGACCTTGAGCATGTTAGTTACCTCTCTGTGCCTCCATTTCCTCACCAGCCACATGAAGCCACTGGGACCTATCAACGCTTCCGACTGTCGTGGTGATAATTATTATGTGAAGCATTTAGAGCAGCACCTGGCCTGTAATTCTGGGAGAGACCCACACTCTTATCTACAACCCTTGAGGCTAGATGTGCTTTGGAATTCAGATTTCTTTTGGATTTTAGTAAGATAACACCTGGACATAACAGGTGACGTAGCACCTCCAGGAGGCCCTGGGCTAGCACCTGGTGACTAATGACACCGACATTTCTGCAGGAAAAAGCAAGCTTTCAGGGTGACCCAGGCTGCCTAAGCAGTAAGGCCCTGGGGTGGAGGAGCGAGTTTCCTTCAATCCCCACCTCCCCTGCGCTGCCCCGCGCCCCCCCCCCCCCCAACACACACACCGAGCTGCTCTGGTCCTAGACTTTGGCTCTTTCTTGGATGTTTGGGCTTTCTTATGAGAGGGGAACCTGCAGGAGTGGTTTTTGTTCTTGTTGGTCTGTTTGTTAGTTAATGAAGTGAGAACTCTGTGGTTGTGGGAAAGGCAGGACCCCCACTACCTCCCTTCTCCCCCCCTCCCCCCCACCCCGCCCCAGGGTTTCTGCCACAGCCGGTCTGGCTGGACTCCCTGCCCACCTGCCATCTCGCAGCTTGCTGTTGCCTTTCTGCTGGTCCTTCACCAGGACATCCGCCACCTGCCAGCTCCGCCTCGGCCCTCGGAGGCCTGCCTCATAGAGTCCACGGCCGAGTCCGGACCCTGCTACCTCATCTCCCCTGGGAAACCCTTCTGCCAGGAAGGCTGGCCTCCTCAGCCCCCTTTCCCAGCTCCACACTCACGGCGTCTCCACACCATTGCTTGGCCTCTTCCCCGCCTGGACCACCTCACTCTCCTCCCCAAGTCCCACATCCTTCAAGGCCTAGCTGAGGTTGTCTCCACTACCCTCCCAGCTCCCAGACTTTTCCCGGTAACTTCAGCTCAGCCCAGTTCTCTGGACGCATATATGCATAGCACTCAACCCTGTGGCCCAGCATGCACCTCAGTTCTTATTCTCTCATTTGCTGGGTACTGTGCACAGCCACCCAGGGGGAGAAGAGAAGGGAAGGAGACAGGAGGGGAGGCAGATCCAAGAGGGGAGGGCACGGGAGCGGAGGGCATGGGAGGTCCAAGCTGGGGAGGCTGGTATTTTCCCTCCCAGCCTCTGCTGCCCCCGTGTGGTGCATCCCATGTGGTGCACCACGGGCTTGCACGCTTGGGCTCAGAGCCCCCTGAGCCAACAGGTCTGCTCCCACCCTAACATTCCGAGGCCTTTATGCTTGTCTGCTTGAGACCCCCCCGGGTCACCCCCATCCTCCCTTGCTCTTTGGCGACCATGTCCCTTCCGCTCCCTGTGAAAATTGCCCTGATGACCAGGGTGTGGGCTGTCTCTATGGCCACAGCCATGAAAGCCACACTCTTAATTTATAGGTGTGGGGTTTCACTAGGCTAAACACACAGGTGGGGGCCTTTGTCCCATACCCACCACCCTCCTTTCCTCCCTTCTCTATTGGGATAAACTGAGGAAGGTGCACACCCCCTACACGGAGGGTGTTTGGTGCATGGAGGAAGGCAGGGAGGGAGTGTTTCATTTCTCACCTGACCCCCACCACCTGGGCCACTCCACCCTGACGTTTAATCAGGATTAGATGCTAATTGTCTGTCCCTGGGGCTTTTGAAGGTGATAGAAACCTGCTCATCTGGACCAGAGTGTGCCCTGCCCCGCCCCCCCTCCCCAAACCCCCCCCACCCCATTTCTCCTTAAGGGTGAATTCTTCAACTATCTCCTCTGTGGTCATCAAATTCAACGGAATTCTGAATTGGTAAATTCCCTAGGCAAGAAAGAGTGTGGCTTTCATGGCTGTGGCCATAGAGACAGCCCACACCCTGGTCTAGAGGGGGGAGGGCTCACCTCCCCACACTCAGGCCCCCAGCCCCCCTCACCTGCTCCAGGTCACAAAGTCCTGGTTGGCGCTGTTTCTTTTGACTGCTGGTCCTTGGTCCAGTTAATGACTGTGTCGTCATTTAAGTCCCCAAATGCGTGTTGACTGGCCTGCTTCCCGCAGGGGAATTGAGAGGGATGAGGGGCCGGTGATGAAAGGCCAGATGGAGGGAAAGGAAAGAGGCTAAGGAGAAAGAAGGGTGAAGAGGGGATGCAACGTAGGGGAGAAATGGGAGGAGGAGTTAAGTCTGGAGCGGTGGGGTAGAAGACCGAGGCCTGATAGGGCATCAATTTCCAGGGAATTCATACCTGTCCCTTTACTTCCCCGGGAACCCTTGGAGGGATTCATTGTGTGATTTGAAAGGCTGGCATTAGGGCTTATGAATTGCTGAGTGACCAACACATATATATCCAGGCGTGTCCTAGAGACCTTTGAGCAGATGGGCACGGGGGTGGGGGTTGGCTACATCTCTGCTTCCCCCTCCCCTGCCCAGGCCACCTGGCACGGGCTTGCACATGCCCCTGGGTGATCTTCGGGGTGCTCCTGAGTTCTAGGGAGTCTTGCGCAGGACTGGGCAAGAAGCAGGTGACCCAGGGGAGCCGGGCTCTTCCAAGGACCAGTGGCCAGTGTTCCAGGGGCTCTGCTGTATCGCTGACAAACCCAACCGCCCCTTATTTTGCTGCAAATGTTGGGCAGTCCAGGCTGCATGATTCAGTGGAAAAATAAGGGCTTTCAAGTAAGTCTATCTGGGTAAAACGGCCTGGTCACTTACCAGTTAGTGTGACCGTGAACCAGTCTGTTTACTGATAGAACGGGAGTTCCCACCTCCTGGGATTCTGGTGAGGATTAAAGGTGGTGAGATATGTCAGATATATGTTTCAGGCATGAAACATAGTAGGTGCTTAGTGGATCTTAGTTCCCCCTTCCAGAACCTTCTGCCCAACCCAGTTTCATGCAGCTTTTCCAATAGGAGATGGTGATACCTAGAGATAGAGGTGAAAGGAGGAAGACATAAACCACAACTTCCTTCAAATTAGGCATGAAAACATTTATTATTCTTTTCATTGAGCTGTATAAAGGAATAGGAATTTTAAGAAGATTTTGCAATTAACAAAGGAAGTAGAACTAATGGGCAAAAGCTTGAATGAGAAGAGGCCCAAATAGCTCAGAACCAGCCACCGAGACTTTGGGATCAGCAGCTGCAGCAAACCTCCTTGTGTGTCTTCTGCAGGGTGGGCTGGGCAGAAAGCTTCTGGGTGGGCCAGTGACGAGTGGTACGAGGAAGACAATGAAACGGCCATCTTGTAGAAAGGATGCAGCAGGACCTGGGCCCAAGTTACTTTCTGTACGCTGCCATAGGGGGAGAGCTTGACAGTCATCCCCGAACAATGCCCACATCCACGCCCTCGTCACGCGCTTCAGTGAGTCTTAGTTTTCAGGCCTTGCTTGTGCTGCTCCACCAAGGTGCCCACCCACTCCATCGTTTTCTGCTTGGCTTTCTCCCAGCTGAAGAGTGGCTCATACCCCAGATCTTGCTGGGCTTTCTTATAGGAGAAGGTGAACACACTATTCCACAAGGTCACTAAGTGGCGGTTGAAGGGAGGCCGATACCTGTAAAATGGACTGAGCAGGAAGCTCACTATTTCCAGCAAGAAGCCAAGCCAATACGTCAGCCATATAGGAAGGCTCATTCTGGAATCAAGGCAGAAGCCCCATTCTTTGCTCAGATTGTAATTGAGGTGATCATAGCTTTGGTGAGGTGTGTCGTCTGAGATGTAGTAGAACTGTCCTTGGATGTTTGGGGCTTTCTTGGGGTCCTGCAGGGCCCTCAAAGCCAGAATGTGGGCCCAGGCCACGTTGCCGACATAGACGGGGTTGGCAATGGAGAACTTGCTGTTGTGTGACAAGATGCCGTTGTTCTTCAGGGCCTGGTCAATGTAGCCGTACAGAAAGGGGCTTCCTTCCCCGTAGATATATGTGGGCCGTAAGGCACAAGTGTACAAGGTGCCACCATTTTTAAGAGCCCACCCATTCGCTGCCAGCACGGCCCTCTCGGCAAGCTTTTTGCTGTATGGGTATGCGGCTGACCACGTTGTTTCGAGGTGCTCTTCTTCGCGGGCGTTCTGGATGATCTCCCTGTAGGAGTTGGGCCCCGCCACCTCTATGGTGCTGGTGTAAATGAAGATCGGCACGCTAGCCTGGGCACAGGCCTCCAGCAGGATCTGGGTACCTGCCCGCAGTGAGCGCTCGGTCAGTGTCAGGGAGTAGCCCAACGGACCCATGGCCACAGACCACGTCCCCCCCACCCCCACCCCCACCCCCACAGGAGGGCGTTCGTGCAGACCACCAGTGAGATTTTCCCTGTCTCTGGCTGAGAGCTGACCGTGCTAACACCACGGAAAAATGCTAAAATAAAAAGAGCCCGACATGGAGTTCTGGAGAGTAAACATTTCTAGGCTTTTGGATTCCATGGGCCTGTGTGCATACTTCTATTTCTGGAAAAGGACATAGGGTTGCCACTTTATATTTTCCTGACTATGGAGGTTTAAAAATGGTCATTTTTTATCCCCATTGCCTCATTAATGACAGGCTGCTTTAACTTTAAAAAAAAATTAGGAGGCTATACTCTCAGAATATGGACAGTCCTAGCTGTTAGGCAAAGGAGAACAGTTGAAGGACTCATTTCAAACACACACACACACGCACAATTGTTTATAGGTAATACACACTCTTAGATGTATGCGTATCTTGAATTGTCTGCATTGTTCTCTTTATTTAAGGACCAATAAAAATGTAGTCATAAGGACCTTTCTTTGAGAGTCACTGAGCAAATTAGTGGGTTCTGAGGAGAAGCTGGAGATCCTGATTCTGTTCCCATTTGTGTGTTCCCTACAAAGGTCACTCCTAATTCTGTCTGTGACTCCATTTACCTAGATTTGAAAAGTGAGGGCGATAAACCCTGCCTCTACTTAGCATTGCAGAATTCTGCCCCGCCTGGCCTGTAGAGCCTGGTGGAGAATCGGAACGAGTCCGCCCCCTGGCGGCAATATTTATAACAGGAGGATCTGGTAGGATCCCTTCAACTGGGTAGAAAACCGTAGCTCATGGAAGTAATCCAGAGCTCTTTCCCTACAAGAGATTTCTGGCACAAATCATCATTTTTATTTTTTTTTGCATTAAAAAAATCCCTTTTAAGGTCATTATACGACTTGACTTTTGGGAGACACAGCCTCATTTTTAAAAAAAGTTAAATCTAGAGGCAGAGAATATTTGAGCTAATTTACCTGCAGAGAGGGAAATGACGATCATGGTGAAGTATTTTCTAAACCTGGGAGTGATGTTGTTTTTAGTCAACCGATGCCTCCTAACAGTTCCCAGGGATTTCAAGCCTCCTTTTGCTGGGAGCGTGAAGAGCAGGAACTGTGAGAGGGGGACCAAACTCGAGACACTGGTTCCTCTCAGCACCCTCCTTGCGGTGGGGGTGGCTAGGGGTGTGGCTAAGTAGAAACCCAAAGGGGTCTTTTTTGAGATTGTGCTGCTTTTGGCTGGAGACCCAAAGCGATAAATTGCTTTAGAAAAGAGGTCTCTGAGTAGACTAATTTTGGAGTGCAGGGCATGGAAGACAGAAGGGTTAGGGGGCAGGGTGCTGTGGTCCTGGAGAGACTGGCCTCCCAGGGGTCAGAGGGATGTTATAACCTGACCAGCTAATAAGGGACTGAAGCTAAACCCTTGAGCAAATGCATGTAGACTTAAAGTAGATTGGAAAGCCACAATTCTGAAAGAGCCACCAAGCATTTAAGGTTTGAGGACCTAAGGCGTACTCTGCACGCCTGGTTAAGGAACTGGTCTAACAGTAGACCTGGTAGTGAGATGAAGAGACGGTATTTTGGATAATGGGGTGCCACTACTGTTAAGAAAATACTACAGGAAGTCAAGCGCTGGGTAACTGTGTAGTACCGGACCACTGTGAGCCAGCTCTGCCCTGTGCAGGAGGCCCTGCCAGGAGGGGACCCGCCCAGAGCTGCGGCCCAACGCTCGCAGCTGACTTGGAGCCACCTCATCACAGACCTCTTAGTTCTTTCTTGGCCTTTCTGTGCGGCCACCCCTGTGGAGCCACATAGAAGGGCTAAACGGATGACAGAGGAAGCACCTGTGAGGCCTGGTTCCTGCCCAGGGGAGGTGGCCGAGTATTAAGAGTATGAGGTTGGAGTCTAGTCCACATCTGATGGGGGTGTCAGTAGAAAGAGCTTCGGTGGCCTTTAGAGTCACACAGCTGTGGGTTTAAGCTCCAGCTCTCCCTCTCTGACCGCAGGGGCCATGCAAGTTACTTAGCCTCTCTCGGCCCCCATGTTTTCTTCTAAGAACCTGAGCATAACAGCCGTGAGTCTCTCTGTGGGAAGTGCACAGCAACAGCGCAGAGCTCATTGTGGGCTCGGTGATGGGGGCTGCTCCTCCCTCCCTTGTCCTGTTTTCTGCCTCACTTGCCCACCCTCCTCCGTCTTCTCCCTGGAATACTGTACCTTTCAGATTGATGTTCATCACGACCTCTCGTGGAATGGCATTAAGGACGTCAATGACAGAGGCGGCGTGAATGACTGCTGCGGTGCCCTGGCAGGCTCTCTTCACGAACTGTTCATCCAGAATGTCTCCTTCCAGCAAGGTCAGCTTGACCTTGCTCTGGAGCTCTGTGTGAACACCCGTCAGTCACTGGAGGGCTTTCTGGATCTGGGAGTTTCCTGATAAAGGTGGCATTTGACCCAGGTCTTCACAAGGACAGGCAGGTTGGGGGAGGGGGGAAGGAGGCACGTTCCGTGGGAGGAACAAGTGGTGCAGGAAGTGTGCCCTGGCCGCAGTGGGTTGGTGTGGAGGGTGTAAGACGGGGGTGTCAAACTCATGCTCACCGAGGGCCACATCAGCCTTGCGGTTGCCTTCAAAGGGCCGAATGTAATTTTAGGACTGTATACATGTAGCTGCTCCTTCCCTTTAAGGAGTTGAAATTACATTTGGCTCTTTGAAAGCAATCTTGAGGCTGATATGGCCCCGGGTGAAAATGAGTTTGACACCCCTGGGCTAAAGTAACAGTTCCCCAATGTGACGTCAGGTGGCCCCTATAGAGAGTCCTTATGAGTTATTTCTGCGCCAGGCACTGTGCTGAGTGTTTGGCACGTTCACTCATTTGCTCTTCTTAACCCTACGGGATGAGTGACAGTGTCCTCCTTTGAAGACTAGGACAGACACAGGCACAGAGGGACTGTCTCAGTCTGTTCAGGCAGCTGCAACAAAATACCGCAGCTGGGGAGTTTGAAAACATTAGCAATCTATTTACTGTGGGTTCTGGAGCCTGCAAGTCCAAATTCAAGGCACCAGCGTGGTGGCGTTCTGGTGAGAGCTCTCTTTCTGCCCCACAGCTGGTGCCGTCTGGCTGTGTCCTCCCATGATGGAAGGGTGAGCGATCTTTCTGGGGTCTCTTTTGTAGAAACGCTAGTCCCATTCATGAGGGTTCTACCCTCCTGACTTAACCACCCCCCAAAGCCCCACCTCCTAACACCATCACATTGGACACAAACATTCAGAGCATACCAGAAGTTAACTTGATCAAGGTCCCACAGCTGGAAAATGGCAGAGCTAACCTTGAATCCAGGCAGCAGCGTCTGTGCTTTTAACCACAGGTTTGCTTGGGAGCTTTTCTGTGAGCCTCCCTCCCATCCAGCCCACGCAGCAGAAGCAGCTGCGTGTTCGGTCTGGCCAAGTGCCGGGAGCCAGGGTTCCACCACCGCGGCTTCCCCAGCGCCCTGGCCTGGTTTCTCTGCATCTCTGCAGGCTAGGGGGGTGGGTAGGAGCTCCTCCTCACTTGGCTTCAGACTTCTCCACGACCACCTCCGCTCCCTTTCCCACCTCCCCTCTCCCCCGCCCCCATCTCCACCTCCCCAGAGACACATTGAGGTTTTTGACCCAGTCTGCTGAGGTCAGCAGCATTGGAGTGGCAGAGAGGCGGAGGAAGGGAGGGCAGAGGCAGGGGACATAATCAGGGAAGATGCTACTCTCAGGCTGACTTCTAGCAGCTTCTCCCCTGCCTTCCCCCTACTCTGGGGCCTTCTGGGGGGCAGAGCAAACTCGGCAGACTTCAGGGGGGCAGATGGTTGTTCCCAGCTGTAACCCAGGAAGGAGATCCTCCGGCCCTGAATTTTTCCCTCTGAATTTCTCTCCCACTGTTCTCTGGCCCCCACCACCAATTTTAGTTCAATAGACTTCTTCCTCGGCCCCAGAAATGTGCCAGGCCTGCCCTGGGTGGCAGGGGGCAGGCTGAGTTGTCACTACAAGTGTGACTTAGACCTGCCCCTGTGCTGCCCGGGCCCCAGTTTCCTCACCTGGAAGGTGGAAATTAGAATACCTGTCTCAGGAGATAGCTGTGAAGGGGAATCGGAAAGCCGTGAAAATTGAGTAGAAAGTAGCAAGCACAGAATCAGTGTCAGGCAGGGGTGTCAAACTCGTTTTCACGGGGGGCCACATCAGCCTCGAGGCTGCCTTCAAAGGTCTGAAGGTAATTTTAGGACTGGATAACTGTAACTACTCCTCAACAGTTAAGTGAGAGCTTGGCGCTGCCACTGGGTAGGAACAAGGTGCTGGGCCGGGTAAAACAAGGTGGAGGGCCGGATTCAGCCCGTGGGCCTTGTGTTTGCCACCTGTGCCCTACCTAGCCGATGCCCTTCTGAGAGCCAGCCCTCAGATCGCAAATGTTGCTGAGCGGCAAGGACTGCAAACGTCTGATGTTTATTACTGTGAATTGGTTTCTTGGAGGGAGACAGGGTTGAAGCAGAGGGTGGGGGAAGCAGGGCCTTTGCAGAGGTCAGAGAAGAGGAAGGAGGAGCGGAGTTCTGGGCACAGTCTGGGGGGGCAGACGGGGGCTCTGCTCGGGGACCGGGTCTCCTGGGCAGCATGTAGACACCCGGTCTGCAGGGACAGGGGCTAGGGGACAGGGAATGGGTCTGGGGACACCGAGGGGGAACTCACTTGGCCAAGAGACAGCCCTGGAGCCACGTGACCTGGGCCCCTGTAATACGGTGCTAGTCCGAGCTCCGGCACTCAGTAACCAGGGGTCTCTGACAAGGCTTTATCCTTGTGGACCTTGATCTCTTCATTGTCCAGATGGGGTGCCCCCCTTTTCTGCTTTCCTCACAGGATTGTTTGCAGGATTTAGAGGGTGAAGCAGGTTGGAAAATGCACAATAAGTCCAGCTTTTGCATTTGTATCAGGGGCAGCAATCTGGGGGGAAAGGCAGGGAGCTGCTGACAGCAGCGTCTGCAGCCCCTGCCCTCGCGGTGGTGAGGAACAGAGAATATGGTCAAAGAAAGAGGAGCAGGGCGTCCACAAAGGTGTGTCTCACTTGTACAGCCTGGCACTGTGTCCCTGGCTCCCGCCCTGTGCTCTTGGGCACCCCCTCTGTTCTCTACCCCCATTCTTATTGTCACACCCTCCCCCTTACTCTCTCTCACTCTCTCTAATTCTCACTCTCACTGTCACACTCTCACACACTCAGCTTCACCTTCACTTCTGTTTACTTCTCCTTCACTGGAGATGCTGAGTGAGGCCACAAAAAGGCCAGGGAAGTAACAAGGAGCAGGGAACCCCCTCCACCCCCGTGGGGTCTCCAGGTTCCTGGTGCGCGCCTGCCCTCTGTAGATGTTTCGCAGTAATTGCCAGGTCAAACGTTTCAGAGCATTGATGAGTTGTTGACATGGGAGGGAGCCAATATGTGATTTTGTGGCTGAGAAGGAAAGGGTCCTAGACGCCTCGTGTGGGTCAGGGCCGGCGTTCAGTCTCCTGACGCAGCCCAGCGCAGCCCAGCATCTCTGCTACTGCACCATCTGCAATTTCCTTTCTTTTGCACAAGGGATTAGCTTTGATTGCCTACCGAGTTACTTAATTCGCTAGAGAAGGACCCCCTCCCCATCCCCACACAGGGTTCAGGATGGAGCTCCAAACCCATGACTCAAGTCCACTTACTGGAAAATTCCTCACGCAGCTTGGGTCTGAAAACTTTGTCCAGCGCTCGGATCTCCTGTAGCTCTTTCTCCTCCGCCAACAGGTGGACGATCCTCTGACCCAGAAAGCCTCCAGCGCCGGTCACAAGGCAGCTCCACCCAGCCATGGCCACACCTGGGGACCAAGAAGTACTCTCCAGAAACCAGAAAACATGGGGAAATGGATTGGTGAAGAGGGCCACCCCAAAGAGGGACAACACCAGATGCCAAGCGGTTACAGGTTCACCAAAATCTATTCTGTTCCCTCTACTTCCATGTTTGCAAAACCCACCCCCCACACCCAGGAGCCGTTGAGAGAAAATTTCAAAACCTCTAACCTGTGAGGTGGCTGAACGCCAGCGGGGAGAGCCTGTGCTGGTGTCCATGGCACCAGGCGAGGCTGGAGCTTTATGTGCTGACCCCCCTGGCTAGGCCTCTTCACCTTGGACTCGACTGCATATTCATTGCTCAATCCCGTCCCAGGATCCCCCCTCCCATGGCGTAAGAAACTCCAGCTCATATCTCTCTTCCAAAGTCCAGGAAAAGAAAGCAACCTTCAAGGCCACAGCATAAGGAAGATCCTTGGTTCCACCCGCAGCAAATAGCTGGAGGCGGTGCCGGCTGTTGGGGATCCACAGTCTGTGAATTTAAGCTGGGCGAGGAGCCGTCCCCACACAATGGGGATCTTTCACCTTGTGAAGTGCATACACCCGGGTGGGGGGCGGTGGCGGGGAGCCCCTCTGGTCCACTGTCTCCCGCTCAGAGTGTGGTTTGAAATTCTGCCACCTTGCACAGTCGAGAAATATGTGATGGTGGCAGCTCCCGTCATCATGTTCTATGGGAGGGGACTTTCTTTCCCACCCAATATATCCAGAAGGTCAGTTTTGATCCCCCCATCCTGGGAAGCTCCGGGGGTTATCTGGTGATAACTACCTGCTTCTCTGGCCTGTAGCATGAGAGTCAGAGTCTAGTTGTGGGTCACACGGCTCTTTAACAATGATTTGCATTTGACTCACATTTTGGGTTGCAAAACCACCCCAGGCAGGTTCCTAACTGAAAATGCCGTGGATGCTCTGAAGCCCACGCCTTAGGGCAGCTCAGACTCCATGCCCACAAGCTCCTCGGGACACTGCCCCCCTCGGCTTCAGCTTGGATGTAAGTTACATGTGTTCAAACGTCCAGGTCTTCAGTGTCAGTTCAATGCACCTGGACAATTCTGCTCACCCATGTAACCACCACACCAAACGGGACAGGGAACACTTCCTGCATCCCAGAAGGTTCTTTCCTGCCCCTCTCCTGTCAAAGCCCGCCCTCATGCCCCGCTCTACTCCAGAAGCGACTGTGTTCTGATTGTTCTGATTTTTAGTTCCTTAACTACTCTCCTAATCTTTTCTTCTAAAGTGTTTATGGTTCTGGCGTAGATAGAATCTGCCTGAAATTAAGTTTTGTGCATGAGGTACAGACAAATTTACCTTTGTATTTATTTCTGTATGGTCTGTTAATTTTCGATTTCATCAGTTTCTTTTAATTATTTGCTTCCTTTTATTTACTTTGGGTTCAATTTACTCTTTTTCTCCAGGGTTCCTGTAGTCAAACCTTCAAGAATTAATTCAACCCCTTTCCTCTTTTCTACTATCAGCATTTAAAGCTGTAACATTCTCTCCAAGGACTGTGTTAGCTGCAGCCAACGATTTCGATGTATTGGATTTTTAACATTATTCATCTAAAAATGTTTTCTAATTTACCTGGGATTTCCTCTTTAACTCATGAATTATTTAGAAGTACATTATTTAATTTTTAAGACTGAGTTTTTCCTTAGCTGTCTTACTGTTATTGATTTATAATTTAGTACCCTTGTGGTCAGAGTGTATGAGTTTGATTCTTAGATATTTGAGGCTTGTTTGGTGACCGCACATACAGTCTATCCGGATGAAGATGCCACATGGCAATCGGAAAGAACGTTCTCTTCAGCTGTTGGGAGCTGCGCCCCTTGGGGCCTGGGTCTGACACCCTACTTTAGGCTCTCCCTCTCCTTGGGCTGTGGACGCCCTCCTCTTCCCACGTCGGACCTGACTCTCAGTGCCTCAGACATACCGCATTTTTCAGACTATAAAACGCACTACCCCCTCCCCAATTTGGGAGGAATAATGGTTGTTAATGCTGCTGTTGAGTTCTGTTTACATTTACATTGGTGAAATATTATGTTATTAAATATTTTACCACACTTTTTGCTTCAAATTTTTTTTTCCTACTCTAAAACCTAGGTGCATCTTATGGCCCCAAAATATGGTACTTGTTTAGGAAACTTTGACTGTAGTCTCTGAGTTGGAACAGCTTGTTTTCTGAAGCAATCATCCCTTGCTAAAGGTCCTTGGTCTGGTTGAGATGTGCGGAACCTTATCTGAGGTCATCGTAGAGCGCCACGCATGCTTGCCTGCTGGAGTTTGCTGTAAGTGAACCATTCACATCCCCCATGCCCTTCCGGACTGAGGTACTCATTCTCCCAGCTGCTGGCGGTGCTGGAGGCAGGTAGATGTCAGCTAGTGTCTCTCTGGGAATCCTCTGCAGACAAAGAGCCAGTAGAACAGGAGTTCAGGGGCTCCGAGTAGAACCAATAAATATAAACTCTACTGCAAAATAAATGAACAAGCACAATGGAAACAGACTCAGAGATACAGAGATCAGACTGGTGGTTGTCAGAGGGGGCAGGAGGTGGGAACTGGGTGGAAAAGGGGAAGGGATTAAGAAGTACAAATTGGTAGTTACAGAATAGTCATGGGGACATGAAGTACAGCACAGGGAATGGAGTCAATACCATTGTAATAACTATGTACAATGCCAGACGGGTACTTGAAACATTGAGTGCAATACTTTGTAAAGTATATAGTTGTCTAACCACTATGCTGTACATCCGAACCTAATGCAAAATAATATTGAATGTAAAGTGTGACTGAAAAATAAAATAAAAAAATAAACTTTTTGGAAAGTGTGAAATAAAATAAAGGGCAAGGCAGTTGGGGGCCACAACATCATCTTTAAAATTTCTATTCCAAACAGCGTTACGGAGACATAATTTACATGCCCATTTAAAAAATTGGGTGATTTATCTTCTCAATGTTGAATTGTAGGGGTACTTTATATTCTGAATACAAGTTCCTTAACAGATAGACGATTTGAAAATATTTTTCCCAATCTATGGCTTATTTTTTCTTTCTTTCTTTTTTATTGTTGTTCAAGTTCAGTTTTCTGCCTTTCCCCCCACTGCTCCCCACCACTCCAGCCCTCCCCACCTCCCTCCCATTTCCATCCCCCCTGTTATTGTCCATGTGTTCCCTATAATTGTCCTGTAAATGCTTCACCCTTTTCCCCCATTATTCCCTCCCTCTCCTCTCTCCCCTCTCCCCTCCTGTCACCGTCAGCCTGTTCTCAGTTTCAATGTCTTTGATTATATTTTGCTTGCTTGTTCATTTTGTTGATTAAGTTCCAGTTAAAGGTGAGATCATATGGTATTTGTCTTTTACTGCCTGGCTTATTTCTTTTTTTAAAATTTTATTTATTTTTTATTTTTAGAGAGGGAGGGGAGGGTGAAAGAGAGAGAGAGAGAAACATCAATGTGTGGTTGCTGGGGGCCATGGTCTGCAACCCAGGCACATGCCCTGACTGGGAATCGAACCTGCCACACTTTGGTTCGCAGCGCGCGCTCAGTCCATTGAGCTACGCCAGCCAGGGCTTGCCTGGCTTATTTCACTCAGCATAGTGCTCTCCAATTCCTTCCATGCTGTTGCAAAGGATAGGAGCTCCTTTCTTTCTTTCTTTCTTTCTTTCTTTCTTTCTTTCTTTCTTTCTTTCTTTCTTTCTTTCTTTCTTTCTTTCTTTCTTTCTTAATTTGCGTCTCTCTGATAGTTAGCGATACTGAGCATCTTTTCATATGTCTCTGGACCCTCTGTATGTCCTCCCTGGAGAAGTGTTTGTTCAAGTTCTTTGCCCATTTTTTAATTGGGTTGCTTGTCTTCTTAGAGTAGAGTCGTGTAAGTTCTTTATATATTTTGGAGATTAAACCCTTGTCTGAGGTATCATTGGCAAATTGTTTTCCCATGTAGTTGGTTCTCTTTTCATTTTAATGCTGTTTTTTTTTCAGCTGTGCAGAAGCTTTTTATTTTGATGAGATCCCATTTGTTTATTCTTTCCTTTATGTCCCTTGCTCTAGGGGACATATCAGTGAAAATAATGCTCCATGAAATACCTGAGACTTTCCTGCCTATGTTCTCCCCTAGGGCTTTTATGGTGTCATGACTTATATTTAAGTCTTTTATCCACCTTGAATTTATTTTTGTGTATGGTGTAAGTTGGTGATCGAGTTTCATATTTTTGCATGTAGCTGTCCAGCTCTCCCAACACCATTTGTTGAAGAGGCTATTTTTGCTCCATTTTATGCTGCTGCCCCTTTTGTTGAATATTAATTGACCATAGAGACTTGGGTTTTTCTGGGCTCTCTATTCTGTTCCATTGGTCCATGTGCTTGTTCTTATGACAGTACCAGGATATTTTGATTACAGTGACCTTGTAATACAGTTTAATATCAGGTATTGTGATCCCTCCCACTTTGCTCTTCTTTCTCAAAATTGCTGCAGCTATTGGGATTGTTTATGGTTCCATATAAATTTTTGAAGTCTTTGTTCTATATCTGTGAGATATGCCATTGGTAGTTCAATAGGTATTGCATTGAATCTATTAGTTGCTTTGGGTAGTATGGACATTTTGATGATGTTAATTCTTCTAATCCCTGAAGGGATGGATCTGCTTATTTGGCCTTCCATCCTAATTGAGAGCCTTGCTGGGTAAAGTAGCCTTGGTTGCAGGCCTCTGGTTCTCATTACTCGGAATATCTCTTGCCATTCTCTTCTGGCTTGGAGCGTTTCCATTGAGAAGTTAGCTGCTAGCCTTATTGAGGCTCCCTTGTGTGTTACTTCCTGTTTTTCCCATGCTGCCTTTAAGATTCTCTCTTTGTCTTGGAATTTTGCCATTTTAATTATGATGTGTCTTGAAGTGGGTCTCTTTGGGTTCCTCTTGATTGGAATTCTCTGTGTTTCTTGGATTTGTGTGACTTTTTCTCTCATGAAATTAGGGAAGTTTTCCATCATTACATTTTTTAAAAAATTTATTTATTTATTTATTTTTAGAGAGGGAAAGGGAGGGGGAAAGAGAGGGAGAGAAACATCAATGTGTA